TTAGGTGTACGTGGCTGGCGCATTAGCCTGTTGAGCTATAGGCGCTGAGCCAAGTGTCATATTCTTGACTTCTTTTTCAAAGCTAATTTGTTCTGTTTAACCTTGCTTGAGCATTACTGTGGATTGTAGCAGTGTTGTAGTCTCAGAGCTGTCATTACAATCTTTAGGCTTTCCATCTTTCTTTACTTGATGGTTTACCTTGATTTGTTGTTCATAAAATATCTTCTACTTTTTATATGAATATTAATAATCATCCTACTTAATTTGTAGGTTCACCACCATAAGAATCCCATTAGAAGATGCATTTGAAAGCAGAGCCTCCCATGTGAATTAAAGCTAGAAGTTTCTAACAGAAAAATTTCCAGCAATATATTAGCAACATGACCCATCAGAATTCAGTGCTAATATAGAAATAATTTTGCCATGATTGCTGGTGAAGATGTGGAGAAAGGGGAACCCTCATACACTCTTAGTGGGAATGTAAGTTAGTGCAACCATTTGAAGAACTCCTCAAGAAACTAAAAATAGAACTACCATTTGACCCAGCAATCCCACTGCTGGGTATGTATGCAAAAGAAAGGAATTCAGTGTATCAAAAAGATGCCTGTACTTTCACGTTTATTGCAGCACTGTTCACAATAGCCAAGAATTAGAATCAGCCTAAGTGTCCATCAGTAAATGAATGGATAAATAAATTGTGGTATATATGCACATAACCATAAAAAAGAATGAGAAATCCTACCGTTTGCAACAACATGAATGAAATTGAGAATACTACATTAAGTAAGATAAGCCATTCACAGAAAGACAAGTCTTCTGGGTTTTTTTTTTGAGACAGAGTCTCACTTTGTTGCCCTTGGTAGAGAGCCGTGGTGTCATAGCTCATAGCAACCTCAAACTCTTGAGCTCAAGCTATCCTCTTACCTCAGCCTCCTGAGTAGCTGGGACTACTGGCGCCTGTCATAATGCCTGGCTATTTTTTGTTTGTTTTTAGAGATGAGGTCTCGCTCTGGCTTAGGCTCGTCTCGAGCCTGTGAGCTCAGGCAATCCCTGCCTCGGCCTCCCAGTGAAAGATAAGTCTTGCACGTTCTCACTGATGCGTGGTAACTAAATATGAAAATTAAAAACAGGCTTGGCACCTGTAGCATGGTGGTTATGGTGCCAGCCACATACACCAAAGCTGACGGGTTCGAAACTGGCCTGGGCCAGCTAAACAACGATGATAACTGCAACTAAAAATAGCAGGGCATTGTGGCGGATGCCTGTAGTCTCAGCTACTTGGGAGGCTGAGGCAAGACCATCACTTAAGCCCAAGAGTTAGAGGTTTCTGTGAGCTGTAATGCCACGGCACTCTACCAAAGGCAACATAGTGAGACTCTGTCTCAAAGAAAAAAAATTAAAAACAATTGACCTCAAAAAAAAATTAAAAAAAAAGCAGTTGATCTGATGGAGATAGTACAATGATGATTACCAGGGGCTAGAAAGGGTAGTGGGAAGTAGGGATAATGGTTAATGGGTACAAAAATAAAGTTAGAGAGTTAGATAGAATGAACAGTATTTGATAGTACAACAAAGTAGCTCTATTGTACAAAAAGTTAGGTATACTTTAAAATAAAGAAAGAAAAAAATAAAATAACTAAAAGAGTAGAATTTGAGTGTTCCTAACACAAAGAGATAATACATGCATAAGAGAATGGAGTCCTCCAGTTACCCTGATTTAATTCACATCATACACCTATATCAAAGCATCACATGTACCCATAATAAATAATTTTTTTTTTTCTTTTCTTCCTTTAGCAATTCTCTTGCCCTTTGCCTCCCAAGTAGCTGGGACTACAGGCGCCTCCCACAATGCCCAGTTTTGTTTTGTTTTGTTTTGTTTTTTGGTAGAGATGGGGTCTCACCCTGGCTCACTCTGGCTCATGCTGGTCTTGATCCTCTGAGCTCAGGCAATCCACCCGCCTCAGCCTCCCATAGCTCTAGGACTATAGGCGTGAGCCACCATACCCAGCGACCCATAATAAATAAAGTTGTTTTTTTTTTTGAGACAGTCTCATTATGTCACCCTCAGTAGAGTGCTGTGACATCACAGCTCACAGTAACCTCAAACTCTTGAGTTTAAGCAATTCTCTTGCTTCAGCCTTTCAAGTAACTGAGACTACAGCTGCCTGCCACAACGCCTGGTTATATATTTTTGTTGTTGCTGTGATTGTTGTTCAGCAGGCCTGGGTGGGTTCCAACCTGCCAGCCTTAGTGCATGTGGCTGGCACCCTAACCACTGATCTGTGGGTGCTGAGCCTAGAATAAGATTTTTAAAAGAAGAAAAAAATATATATATTTTAAACAGAGTCTCATACTGTTGCTTAGAGTAGAATGCTGTGGCTGCAGCCTAGCTCACAATAACCTTAAACTCAAGCAGTCCTCCTGTCTCAGCCTCCCGAGTAGCTGGGACTACAGCCATGTGCCGTAATGCCTGGCTAATTTTTCTGTTTTTAGTAGAGATGGAGTCTCACTGTTGCTCATGCTGTTCTCAAATTCCTGAGCTCAAGAGATCCTTCCACTTGGTCTTCCCAGAGTGCTAAGATTGCAGGCATGAACCACCAGGCCTAGCCAAGAAGAAATAATTTTGTTGTGAAGTCTTTTCTTTCGCAGATACATTTTGATCAATCAATATTAATGTATTTATCAGCTGTGAATTCTCACTGTACCTGGTTATGGTGACTTTTTTATATCTGTGGCTATTTTTCTTCTTCAGTGATCTGAAGATAAAGGTTGGGGGCAGGCACATCAATGCTCATAAGTTTGTCCTGGCAGCCCGAAGTGACAGCTGGAGTCTAGCCAATTTGTCTTCCACTGAGGAGCTGGACCTGTCAGGTGAGCCTTTGAGTAGAAACACAAAACTGCTAGCATAAGAACTCTCCACAGAATGTTATAGGGTGTGATTTTGAAATATTTATGGTTTGATGAAAGTAGAATACTTATTTTATCAATTGGTAGTAACCATGACTAGTTAAGTTATTAGTGAATCAGTAAGTTGTCCTTTATGGATGGTTCTGTTTAATACCTGGCTAACAAATCATAAATGTTTCAGTGTCTATAATGTTCTTATTTATAAAATAGAATTATATTTCCACAAGCTCATTTCATATAATAGCATGTTATAAATGTGCATTTGTGTGCATAACAGGTTTTCCTTTAATCTTAGAAAAGGTCTTACTGTCAAGTTACTTAAAATTTAATAATAAAGCACTCTCTTTGGCAGCACATATACTAAAATTGGAACAATACAGAGAAGATTATCATGGCCCCTTTAAAAAAAATTAATAATAGACACCAAAGTAGTTTTTCTGATCTATTTGAATTGAATTTAGAAGTAACAAATTACTCCAAAGATTAACAATATTATTTCTTAAACATCAAAGGATGACCATTAGTCTTTAGGATTTTAATAGATAATGAGTCACTATGTGTTATGGTGGGTATGTTAATTTGTTTCACTGTAGTAACCATTTTACTAATGTCCTGTTATGTGCCTTTAATAAAGGCAATAAAATTTATTTTTTAGGGCAGTGCCTGTGGCTCAGTGGGTCGGGTGCTTGCTGGGTGGCGGGTTCAAACCCGGCCCCCGCGAAACTGCAACAAAAAAATAGCTGAGTGTTGTGGCAGGCACCTGTGGTCCCAGCTACTCAGGAGGGAAGATAATTGCCTAAGCCCAGGAGTTGGAGGTTGCTGTGAGCAGTATGATGCCACGGCACTCTACCAAGGGCGATAAAGTGAGACTCTGTCTCTACAAAAAAAAATTATTTTTTAAAAAAGAATTTTACCATGTTGCAACAATTTAAATAAACTTACTCTCTTATCAAAAAAGAATTTTAATAGGTGCATCAGGCTATTTAATGTTATTATTTGTTTTGTGTTACGTTATATTTTGTAGAATTTGGGTAAATATGGTGGTGAGCAGATTTAAAAGCAATTATTTTTGAAAGTTGACCCTGAAATTACATTTTCATTTAGTATGTGCCTAATTATTATTGAAAAAAAGGTGCAAAAAGGAGAGTTTAACATAATTTCACTCTTAATAATATAATTCTCATGAGAGAATTATAACATGGTAAGGAGAATATCTAGGCATTAAGATGTGAGGTGAAGTCGTATGTCTCTTAATGATGTGTGTGTATACAGTCTTTTATGTTTGTACAAGAGATTGTACAAATGTCAAAGAGTGTACATATACAAATCCAAATGGTATAACCTACAATGCACTTAGGCTATAGGCTATAGCCTATTGCTTCTAGTAAGTTATTGTAGTGAATACTGTAGGCACTTATAACACAATGGTAAGTATTTATATTTCTAAACATAGAAAAGTAACGGTAAAAATATGGTACCATAACCTTATGGGATCACCATTGTATAATGTGGTTTGTTGTTGACTGTCCTGTGGTGCATAACTATGTTTATAGAAGTGGTTGGCTATGTGAAAATTCTGCTGAATTACATCTTTTTTTTTGAGACAGAGTCTCACTTTGTTTTCCTCAGTAAAGTGCTGTGGCGTCAACAGCTCACATCAACCTCAAACTCCTGGGCTCAAGTGAGTCTCTTGCCTCAGCCTCCTAAGTAGCTGGTACTACAGGCACCTGCCACAATGCCCAGCTATTTTTAGAGATAAGGTCTCCCTCCAGCTCAGGCTGGTCTCAAACCTGTGAGCTTAGGGAAGGTACCTGCCTTGGCCTCCCACACTGCTAGGATTACAAGTATGAACCACCATGCCTGGCCTGAATTATATCTTTATTCAAAAGATTCAACAATTCAGAGGGTTCTGTTTTTCATGTGCAGTGTTAGGAACACAGAGATGATTATAACACAGTCTTTGCCATATGGAAGCTATGCTCTGCTGGAGGAAACAGGCTATTAACAAATCATTTCAGATCAGAAATATAAATATAGTCATGTAATTATCTTTTTTTTTTTTTTTTTTTGAGACTGAGTCTCAAGCTTTTGCCCTAGGTAGAGTGTCATGGTGTCATAGCTCATAGTGCCTGCTAACTCTTGATCTCAAGTGATCCTCTTGCCTCAGTTTTTCCATTTTTAGTAGAGACATGGTCTCACTCTTGCTCAGGCTAATTATCTTATATATAAAGAAGGGAAGAGACTAAGTTGGACCAATAAGGAAAGTTTTAGAGGTTGCTGGGCACCGTGGCTCACACCTATATCCTAGCACTCTGGAAGGTTGAGATGGGGGAAAGCCTTAGCTCAGGAGTTCGAGACCAGCCTGAGCCAGAGAGAGACCTCATCTCTTTAAAAAAAAAAAAAATAGCTGGGTGTTTTGGTGATGTCCGTAGTCCCAGCTACTTGGGAAGCTGAGGCAAGAGAATTACTTAAGCCCAAGAGTTGGAGGTTGCTGTGAGCTGTGACACTATGGCACTCTGCCTTGGGTGACAAAGTGAGACTCTGTCTCAAAAAAAAAAAAGTTTCAGAGGTGGCTAACACCTGAGTAGTGTTGTGAAGGGTAAGCATTTATCTCATGGATTTAGAGGAGCACATGTATAATGTTTCTCTACTGCAAATAAACTGTCTCCATGATTATTTCTTTTTTTTGAGACGGAGCCTCAAGCTATCCCCCTGGTTAGAGTGCCATGGCATCACACTCACAGCAACCTCCAACTCCTGGGCTCAAGCGAATCTCCTGCCTCCGCCTCCCAAGTAGCTGGGACTACAGGTGCCCGCCACAACGCCTGGCCATTTTTTGGTTGCAGCCATTATTGTTGTTTGGCGGGCCCGGGCTGGGGATTCGAACCTGCCACCTTAGGTGTATGTGGCTGGTGCCTTAGCCGCTTGAGCCACAGGCACCGAGCCTCTCCATGATTATTTCTAGGATTTTTGAGGTTCATTATTAAAAGTTGTCAACAGCTCACAGCAACCTCTAACTCCTGGGATTAGGCAATTCTCTTGCCTCAGCTTCCCAAGTGTCTGGGACTACAGGTGCCCACCAGAGCGCCCGGCTATTTTTTGTTGCGGTTTGGCCAAGGCTGGGTTTGAACCCACCATCCTCAGTATATTGAGCTGGCGCCCTACCCACTGAGCCACAGGTGCTGCCTTCATTATTAAAGCATTTGTTCATATGCATGCATGCTGATAACTAAAATATCTTGTTGGGTATCAGTCTTTGCCGGAAGGGCACTAGTCTACAAGATTGAAATCTCAGAGCACAGTTTTTGTTCATTTTTGTTTGTGATTTTGTTTTTGAGATAGGGTCTTGCTCAGGCTAGAGTGCAGTGGTGTCATTGTAGCTCACTGCAGCCTTCAAGTCTCTGAGCTCAAGTGATTCTCCTCCTTCAGCCTCCCAAGTAGCTGAGCCTATAGACACCTGCCATCATGTCTAGCTAAATTTTGTAATTTTTTTTTTTTTTTGAAACAGAGTCTTATTCTGTTGTCCTGGGGAGAATGTCGTGGCATTATAGCTCACAGCAACCTCAATCTCTTGGGTTCAAGCCTTCTTGCCTCATCCTCCTGAGTACTTGTAACTATAGCTCTTGCTACAACACCAGGCTAGTTTTTCTTCTTTTAGTAGAGATAGAGGTCTCACTTATTGCTCAGGCTGGTCCCAAACTCCTGAGCTCAAGCATTCCACCTGCTTTGGCTTCCCATAGTGCTAGGATTACAGTCATGAGCCACTGCACCTGGCCTAAATTTTGTATTCTTTGTAGAGATCGAGTCTAATTCTATTCCCATGCTGTCCTTGAACTTTTGGTCTCAACCAATCCTCTGGCCTTAGAATTCCAAAGTGCTGAGATTACAGGTGTGAGCCACAACACCTGGCTTTTTTTTAAAAGTATAATTTTTTGAAGCCAAGTGTCTTTGACTTCGTATATAACATTATTATGGATAGCTTTTAAAGCCTATTAGATTGTGTGGTGTTCCTACAAAATGAACATATTGCTCAAAAAACTAGAAGAGGTAATAAATATATGGAAAATATCCAAATTTGTTAATAAAGTGTTAAGAATAAGCTTTAGATATCTATATAATAAAAAATTAATGATTCCAGTAGTTGTGAGGCCCATGAAATTGGTACTCTTGCCCATTGCCAATGACATTGTAAGTGGGCATGATGGGGTTTTAGAAAGCAGTTAGGCAGCTGCAAAATAATCCCCCCAACCCCCAGACAAGAGTCTCACTATGTCACCCTCAGTAGAGTGCTGTGCTATCGCAGCTCACAGCAACCTGAAACTCTTGGGCTTAAGCAATTTTCTTGCCTCAGCCTCCCGATCAGCTGGGACTATAGGTTCCCACTACAATGCCTGGCTATTTTTTGGGGTTCAGTAGTTGTTTAACAGGCCCGGGTAAACTCGAATCTGCCAGCCTAGGCTGACACCCTACTCGTTGAGCTATGGGTGCTGAGCCTAAATATTCTTTTTTTTTTTTTAACCTCATTATCTGACTTCTGGAATAACTGTCATAGGTAATTCAGATAGCATAACTGTTCATAACAGTTTTGTTTGTAATTGTGAGATAAAATGAATAAGAATGAGGAAAATAAAATATGACAGATTTTTGGACCAAAAAGAAGTACGTAACACAGAAAATTGCATTAAAACTCAAAAAGCCTAATATAAATGTTGAATTAAAAATTTTGCTTTATGGTGAACTTTTTAGTACACCAAATATTTCTTTTTTTTTTTTTGCAGTTTTTGGCTGGGGCCGGGTTTGAACCCGCCACCTCCGGCATATGGGGTTGGCGCCTCACTCCTTTGAGCTACAGGCGCTGCCCATACACCGAATATTTCAGAATAGCTTTAACTTACTGCCACCTGTCTACAAGATAGCTTCACTGTTGTTAGAAAGTTTTCCAAGTTTAGGAGAGTATAATAATG